TTGTTAAAAAATAATCTGAATATAAATATGTTGTAATCTCTGACAACAAGCTATTAGGTCTTGCTTGGTGTTTTGACAAGATTTATGCAGGTGCCCAAGTGCATAGGTATGACTCACCTTTCAGAATATTTACCGAACCGAAACATTTATGTTACCACTAACAGATCCTAATAACACTGAACTCTGCAGATGCAACACAGACAAATCTGCTATGTTTAGAAATGTATTCTTACACTACTCTCTTATTTCTCCCATCTTATCATTGTAACAGAAATGTAATAACATTGAAAATATTAATGAAAACATGTTCACAGCGGGAAAATAATGACTCAGACCTCCAACTTCTCTTACACATTCTACCAACAATCTCTTAAGAAGCAAGTATAAAACACCATGACTTTATACAAGGAGCACCATTTAAGACAGCACAGAATATATTTTCAAAAATCTTATTTTTATTGTTTGCACTACCTGTAGCATCATTTACAGCTTTCATCTGTATTAAATTGAAGTTGAATCAGCACACACAAAAACCTGTTCAAGGTCAGTACTCTTAAGTGGAACCTTGGTTACACAAATGCAGTACACCTTGATGTGTAACAGAACTAGGAACCGTTAGTTCATCCGAACACTTTAAGTATAGTCACTCCAGCTTCATGCATTTTTCAGGGCTGTTAAAAAGTTTCATTTTAGGGGTGCAAACAGAAAACAGCTACAAGATTTATACATACAACTCATTTTTAAACAAAAACATATCTAAATTATCAAACTACAGCAAGGACCCTTCTTCAGCTGTAAAAATTTTGCTCTGCAAAACAAAAAAGAAAATAAAAATCAGTCACTTTGCTGTATTAAACACAAGTAAGATCATTAGCAGCCTAAACGCTTGCTGGCTCATGCTGCATGTATTCCCACTTCTGCCAAAAGTTTGCCAGGTTTAGCCATCGGCTCCTGGCTTTCTCTCTGAACCGAAATGGAAGTGGGTATAAAACCAATCACTGCTGTGAGTGTTTGCCTTTTTACATCTTGGCTGAAAACCTGAGACTTACCAGTCGAGTGTCTTCACGCAATTCCCTATCGCCTCTCCAGAAACAGACCCACAAACCAAGACAGTCTGTTTGGTTTTACTCATTTCTGCAAGTTGCTTATGAACTAATTTTCAAAATTAAAATGGTTAATTATTAACGAGCAGTTTTGAAGCTTTATCCTCTCAACTCCTGAACGTAGTTTTAAATTGTTCTAGTTGATGCATTTGTTATTAGATCTGATTCATTTGTTATTTATCTTACTTCACTGGCTTGAAACCAAAAGTTAGCACCAGAGGGAAGAAATGACAGAAGGTGGAAAGCGAGCTCAATTCAAACAGTTGAACTGAAAAACCATAGAATTAATAACAGATAGGACAAACACCTCAGTACATACTAAAGACCTCACAGGAGGCTGCCATGGAGTCCTGAACTAGTAGCCATCACTAGGAGTTTAGGCTGTCCAGACCCTCAGAAGCCACAGTACAGGCTTTGCCACATTAGATTTTAGTGAGTGAGCCCAGAACCTCTCTGTCCACACCCCTGAGAGACCCCCAAGACAGAAAGCAAAAAAAACTACAACAGGATTACTCTTAGGTATATTCTGCTGTGCTTCAAGATGGGAGTTTTACCTGAAGCAAATCCTTAACCTCTAAAGATGCCAATAATGTAGGAGCAGAAACCATGCAGGGATTCCCAGCAATGTTCCCGTGCCAGTTTCATTGCTTCCGTTTCATTTTCAGACCCTCGACCACGTTGGGTTGGTTTTATAAGAGGTAGTACTGCAGGTTTCCCTATTTTCTTAACAGAGCTTTTCCCTGCTCCCCTCATAGAAGTGGAAGTTTTCTGGACCGATTTGTCCTGGTTTCCTAGATCTTCTGGCTCCATACCAGCAGCTATTTGCTTCATGACAGCCTCTGTGGGAGCCTTTTGGCACATGGTGGTCTTCAACACTTGGGTGGATTCGCAAGCATGCGGGAGCTTTCTAAGTTCCACAGCGATCTGATTCCAGTACATCTTTGGATTGTTTCTGAAAGCACGACAGACTGATGGCTTGCCAGTGAATTCGCACCAGTAGGACATGCCTTGGCTTTTGCACTCAATTCTAAGTTTTATCTCCTCGTCCCCGCTCATGCTCATTGTGCAAGCATCTTTGGTTTTAGTCCGAAAATTGATTTCTTCGCCATTGCTTCTTTTCTTTGGCTTCAGCTTCTGTCCCAATCCTCCCATGCCGCAGATCACTACTACGAAAAGAAGAGCAAACCTCTTCATGCTGAGAGAAGTTGACTGAGATTCTTGAGCAACTTCCAAAAAAGTGAAAGCAATAAGTAAGCGGCTGCTCACAATTTAAAGGCTTGGTGCACAAAGAAGCCACTTTCCAGCGAAACGTGGGATTAAGTCAATGTTTGTTTTTTTGTTTTTTTTTTTTGTTGTTGTTTTTAATAAAAATAATAAATCACACTTCACTAGGCATGAGCCCATAATTTATAGCCCAAGGGAGTGTTGAATAACCCGTGAACTCCCAAGAAGGTAACAAGACAAATCTTGTAAATGCAGTTAAATACAGAACAATAGTTGTATAACTTGAGAAGTACATTCCTGTCCAGGATGAACATGTCATATTGGATTTTTAACAGATATTTTCCATTCTCCAGCTGCTTTATAGCTATCTTCATGCCAGAGCCTGTAAGATCATATTGAAGTAAATAAAGATAAAAGTGCCAAAGCAACTTATGCAGCTACATATGGATGATCATAAATGTGTCCTAATAATAAAGGCTGATTTGTGGAATGGGTTTTCTGTGGATATGCACAGTAAGGATGCAACTTTAGTACTTCATTTTGTTGGCACATGACATGCAGTGGGGACACATGGAACAATCAACCGCACGTTCTTCGACCCATGAGGGATTATGTCATTAAACCACAACATACATTTGCAATATTGAAGCAAGATATGGAATGAAGCTTTAGCAAAATCAGGTAATTACAGGTCTAAACATAAACCAAACATTTGGAAGTCTTATCATCGTCACACCATGGGTTATTTTCAGCCCACAGAGCAAGACAACAGAACCAACTTATCATGGGTCTCAGCAGCAGGGAATAGACCTCGGAGCATGTTCGATAGATATTTGTGCTTTATCACCTTCCACTTTTTTTTAAATATAGTTATTTTCCTGTTCATAATAAATAAGCTGTAAAAATGCCATAAAACAAAGTCAAGAAAATAGAAATATTTTAGTGCAGAATCCTGTACTAGCAGTTTCTGCTGCAGTAACTAAAAGCAGAGCTAAGGAACATCATGGTAACTCCCTTGGCATTAAGGAGGTCATGAGGAAAAATCCCTCCCATGCTGTTGCAAGCCACAGCACTTTTCTGGCTAAACCCCGCTATGCACTTCTTTTGAAGACACGTATGCTACACCCATATCATATTATTTAGGTATGCTTGAATAACTGTGGGGTGCTAGAAACCCTGGCTTTACGAATGGCCATACATAATAGAATAGATTATAATTTTGTATTTCCAGTCATTCAATAGGTATCACTGAAGAAAATACCAAGGCAAAACCATTCATTTAACACACATAGTGAAGCAGAACAAAAAAATAAAACTGAAAAAAAAAATCCTTCTCTAATACTTGACAACAGAGTCCCTAGCTGCTGTGGCATCCCAGCTAGTCTGAAAGCTGCCTGCTTGAAGATGGAGCCACGAGCCACCTGGAACAGCTGTTCTGGGTAGCCTGAACCTTGTTCTTCCAGTGAACATGTCATGAAGTTCTCCATGACTAAATACCATTTGACAGAGAACACTGTTTTCTTTTCATCCCCTCTCTATGGCTGTTTTAATAACATTTTTAGTAGATGTCTCCTTTCTAGCTCCTTGCCGTTTGTTCCTCCTGACTGTCATCTTTCAAAGTCACAGTGGTGTGGCTCTCCAGTCAAGTCTTAGGAGAAACAGCAATGGTACGAGCCTACTTAAGACTTACAATTCATTCTTCTGTTGTTTTCTAGGGAGTCTTCTCACCTGTCATCTGTTCAGCCAGAAGAATCTTGTTGCCCACCTCACACTTCATTTCAAGGATTTCAAATCCCTACTGGAAGCACTCAAAGACCTCCTAGTATTTGACAAACAAATGTATTATTTACACTTGGTTATGCACAACTGCACTGACAGCTCCTAGATTAGAAACCAAAGGCATTCTTCTCTCTTGTTCTAATAATCATTAAAGAGTTCAAAACTACTTACAAGTTACTTCATACCAGTTTCAGATCTCTTGTTCTGAAAGACTACAAGGATAAGGACAAATACCAAAGCTTGGTCTCAAGAGCTCTGGTATAGTTATGTATGTATTACAGTTAATCTGTTACTGCCTAGTGTTTGTCTCACTCCCATCTGATATTTGTGTCCTCTATCTGCCTGTGCTTCAGATGAGACAGCTCATGGTCTGTTATATCAGTGGAAAATGACTGTCCTTTTACAAGTTAAGCTAGGATGCCAGCAGCGAACTATGGGAGCTGAAGCACTGGCAAACGTTTAATTCTGTTGCCAGTGCTACAGAAACAACAACAGGGGCAAGCGCAAACACCTTGAGCACTGGCAGGGTATGTGGATATCTGTCACAACTCATTAGCTTGAATCGTACCATCTTTGCATAAATCACACCCTTTGTGGAAGTTGGAAGCTCCCTCGCCCGGAGTCAACATTCTTTCAGTCCTTCCTGCTCCAATTCTTAGTCTCTTATCTTGCTTAAGCTAAAGTCATCAACAAAAATAAAATACAGCAGAAATGTTTAATCAGGGTAAAAAAAAAAAAAAATCATTTTCATTAAATTTTACCTCAGTGCAACTCTTCTGAGACAGGTCTACACAACAAAACAACTGAGAATCAAACATCGGGTAGTTAAGCAAGTTCTTTTTTATTTAAATGAACTGGGAACATTTTCTCAAATTAAAAATAGAAACTTTTAAAAATCTGCAGTTCTGAACATTACATATACACATATGCTACATACTGTCAATTAGAAATGTTTCCATTTATGACCTAAAACCGAAAAATTTAAGGTTATTCCAGATTGAAGACTGGTATCACTTTTCAGCATTTCCTTAAAATTATATGAACAATTTACATGATTATCCTTATTTTGAGCCAATGAACCTTGTTGGAAACAAAGTTAACAATACTGATACATGAAGAGACACTATTTTAGATGAACATACCCAATTACTTCACCTACCAAAATGTTTTACACTAGTAACATACATACTTTTGGCCTTGTTGATGAATTCTGCTGTTAACTAATTCAGCAATGCAACTGTATGCCTAAATTCAAGGCAATAACTCTAATAGTACAAACTTCAACTCCAATTGCTAAAGATATTGGAATTTCAATATTGGAAATCATAGTTCGAAATTATTTATCAAAAATAGCATCACTGCCCCCTGAAAGAGCCACAGTTTAACAGTGATACTACTACGGACATTACAGAAGTGAGTGTGAATTAAAAAAAGGGAGACAGAGAATGTAAAGCATTCTAAAAATCACCAACATACGATGTCTCTCATGCTCTTTTAGAGTACTACTGAACTCCAGAAAGCTTAGCTTTTTTTTTTCTATATTATGCATCACGTACACTCCCAACCCTCCCACCCAAAGAGTTTCAAAACAAACTTCTCCAAAAAGTCCCTTTTAGGTCTATACTGCAAAACCCACTAAACATTAAATAATTAAAAAAAAGGAGAAAACAAAACTGCAACTGAACTTTTCGGAGACACAAGGAGACACTGTGGATCCCATTACACTTCAAATTTAGTCCAAAGTGGTTATTCAAGAGCACCAAATAGCAACACTGATCATGCTGGTAAATTCATTTGTGAAGAGTATTATACAATATTAAAATCTTAACTAAACACTTGTAAGTTTAAGAAAAACGTATATACAAAAGTCTCTGCATATAAAATGTATTTTTATGTAAACGTGTATGTACTGTATTTAACACAAATCAACAATTTAATAACTTGGCCAATTGTCAGAGGATTGCTAGGCAAAGGCTGTTAATCTAACCAATTTATATACTGTGATGTAAGGTAGAAAGCCCAGTGTAAAAAAGTAAAAAACCAAAAAACATTTTCATTCAAGCCTTGAACAGTGGTATTTGAGAGGCAGTGCCTTGATCGCAAAATATTCTGTACAGTAGTTTATGGCATAACATTCAATGGTACATTTGGGATTTACAGTACGGATGACATAGAACAAGTGGCTCAGGATTTCGAAGATGAATGCAAATGCCAATACGCTTAGAAGAATAATGATATATTCCTGGTAGAAGAATCTCGAGCTTCATTTCTATAGCCTGGAAATAATCACAAAAACAATTCAGGAAAATTTGATGAAGACAGAATTATAATGTAATTTAACCAGAATGGAGGCATAGATTTTCATATGAACAGCTATATGGTCTAACAATGGTTTTTTTTTTTTTATTTTTAAACCTTACAGCACTCATGTTACAGAAAGTAGAACGGCCTTCTTAAAAATAATGAAGTAGTAACAGACTTAGAATTGACTTAAAATATTTATTACTTACCCCTTAATGTTTCCAGTATGTGTTACCACTGTTCCACAGAGCTACACAAGAAAAAACACAAACCAAAACCATTGTTTTCTTTTGCCCACAAATGAAACAAACATTGTGTCCAACTATGGTGAGACAACTCAGTGAGCACAAACTGTTCTCAAACCTTTACCTATTTAATCAAGAATTTCTCAAACAAGAGGAAGTAGATTCGTGGTTCTGTCCACTAACCTTTCTGGTTATCTTTGTTTCATGATAGAAAGAAATGCTTGGATTACCTATGCAACACCACTCCTTTGATACCTTAATCCAGCCTCCAATTTTGCTCTCACAAAAATGGTGGCAGCATTTGAGGTTATTTGTATCTGCGACATGTATATAAAAACACCTCTGAGAGATATCTATACAAATATAAATATACCTCATATAGATCTCATACTTGTATTCACATGTTGTACTTATAAAGAAAGATATTTGCATCTATTACCAGCAAAATAATCCACCTGACTTCAAAAGACAGAAAAAACCCTATGGGATTCCTTACACCTGCAAAACTACAGGTGTACAGAGACCTATTCAAAGTCCTATCTCTCAAAGTACCTCTCAAAATTATTTGTAGAAAATGAGAAAAAGCAAAGATAGCATAAAAGCAAAGAGTATGCTGAAATGAAAGTGGAAAACAAGACTTTATTGCTATGGGAATCCCAGGCGGAGAAATTCGAAGCATGCATCTCATAATTAGCAGTTTTTCAAATTATTTCAGTTAGCACATCAGAAGATAGCTTTGCTTCAAACTGAATCCTTACATTTTATTATGGAAGCCCATTTGGAGTAACTTAAGATTTAGGAAAAGGAAGTCAGGACAGAACTAGTGGGTCTTTGTTTAAAAGATTATTTTATGTTACTAATTTTTAGCTTATTTAGGAACACTGTATTAAACTATTCATCAATCACTGAAATATCACAGAGAACATGCTATGAACTTCAAAAGTATTAATATTTGTATTAAAGATTCAAAGATCAGACAGTGCCTTCTAAGGCCTGAGCAATTATTAGTTTCCTCTCATATAAAGTATTGGAAGTCCTTAAAACTGAGAGTCCTTAGATATGCCAGTGGAGAGCATTTTTGAATTAAACATCTTGTAGGTTAACTTAGGGAGTGCCCTTAATTTGCAGAACAGACCATAACAATCATGATCATAAATATCACCAAAAACCATCATTACACAGAAATACTTCCTTCCAAAGAAAATGCAGAATCAAGATTTGGTCAGTGAACAATTATTATAAAATACAGTTCTAATAAATAATAACATACAACTGATGCAGTCAGAAAATCTGGCAAGACTTCCAAACTTTGAGCTCTCTTGGTATTTACCCATCACTGAAAGAACAGTGATATCCTACTTCTCTGCCAATACTCAATCTATACTTGCAGTCATGAAGTTGCAAGTTAAGGCACAGTGAGCTACAGATTTCAATTATAAATCAGATCCTTCCTTAATCAACTTGGATATTTTGGAAATCCAAATATTGAAGTTGTGGGACATCTTATGTTATCCCTATGGAAACTAAAAGTCTCACAACTAGCTAAGGTTTTACCACACAAAAGTTGTAGATACAGAAAAGAACTCAAACATCCTCCCTTTTAAACATGAATTCCTTGTTTTGTGCTGTTACACTAGGTCTACCCATGCAGAAACACCATTTTCTCTGTTAATGTTTTCTGCATACCCTGGATCATCTGCCTTTTGCAGAGGAAAAGCTCCTCTCCTCACCATCAAAAAAATAAATCAACTCAGAAGTAAGAATGCATCCCACCCCACTTGCTACTGCTATCAGAGTATTTTAATATGTTTATAAATTTAGGACCACCCACTGTGCTAGATAAATACCTAATTGTCTGGATTTTGAGATCAAATTTAGGCAATTGCTTTGTTAAGATGCTGGAAATTACTAAAATATCTGCTGTTATGTGAAGAATATTTGAGAAATATAAATCATACAGCATTCGCTATAGTGAGTAATCATGAAAAAAAGTAAATAGAGCATTAAGTGATTCACTTTAAAACATGCAGAAAATTGGATAGGTGATTAATATAGCAGATTAAGTAAGGACACATGAAGGCATGCAGTTTCAGACTTGGTTTACCTTGTAAAAACAGGATTGTGTATACCATATAAATGCTCTTTATGATAACCATTATTACCATTTTCTGTACTGTAATAAAATAAATACACCAAGAAAGACCATGTTAACTATAAGATGTACTATGTACAGTATGGCTTCTAAGACATGTACATGGATGATGGTATTATATGCAAAGATAAACTGTGTCTGTACAATAGAAGATAACTTTTCCTTTGTAACATTCAGGAGCTATGGCATAATTATAATTTTATATTTTTAATATTCTTATATTCTCCAAAAAGTAACTAATTATTTTGGAAGTCTTGTTGAGTTGGATACTCTAATATAAAGTCTGGTGAAACAGAACATGTTACTTCTTTTGAAGTAACAAGTTACATTAATAATATAACCCCTTCCACCTGAATAAAATAATTTTAACAAATACCAGCAAAAACGTCTTCATGGGTATAGTTTCAACACTAAAAAACATAGAAAAGGAGGGGTAATTAACTAGACACTAATAAGCGAGTAATTTTAGCTGTACATGCCTGTTTCTGCTCTTCTGACTTGTGAATGTGTAATGAAAAATGACTGGTGTGAAATTTGAGAAATGCAGTGCACAGGCTAACTGAACAAGGAGCAAAACAAAGAGTAGAAAAGAAAACAGTAAAAACAAAACCGATGGGAAAATATGTAAGAACAGTTATCATAAAGTAAAATGCCAAGTCCCTGAGACAGAGGAACTGCAATTGAAAAAGGAAAGACTGGTTAGGAATAACTAAGACAGTAAGAAAGCAAATAATTAATTCAAGAAGATTACAAAGCAGGCATAATTCACCTTAATGGGCTACTTAGCAAAGCTAATTACTTGCATATTTGGAAGATATTTATATAAATGCTGCACATGAAGCTCTGAAGACCTCATTCTGAGATAAGTTTCTCAAAGTCAGAGCTGGCAGTATCTGCAGTCGCAGCAAGTCAAGGCAATCAAAGCCCACCTGCATGAAGCACTTTGCAGGCACCACCCCAAACCTGCAGTATTTCCTAAGAACATGCAGTTCTAATCTGACAGCACAGAAGATTTAAGGACTATAGCGCCTTCATGTGAGACACTAGAAAAAACATTTCAATCCATTTGCCATTTAGCTTACTTAGGAGTATATACTTACTCATCATATACATCCTCTGTATCCATTCTACGATAGTATTTGGAGAGTTTTACAGCAAAAATTATGGCAGGAATTAAAAATATTGCAGAGCCTCCCAAACCAAACCAGAAGGTATTCTGAAACAAAGTAAAATCCAGGAAAAAAAGATCACAGAGAAAATTTACCAGAAAAGTACTGAATCCTTGCTTCATATTCTAAGCATTGTTACTGGAAGAACACAGTAGAAACTAGTGCCATTGGCCTTGTGAACCTCCTGAGGCTCCTTATACTAACGTGGAACAGAGTACGCTAAGCATTGTCAACGTGAACTAAAGTAAGACCACCATCGTCTTACAAATGTAACCAAAAAGGAGTATGTCCAAAGTTGCTCTAAGGTACACAGCCATAATACCCTAAGAAGTTATTTCAATGTAGTCAGCCTTGGTCTAGAATGTAATTTTGTGTCTCTGCATTACTTTATTAGCCACATTATTTCTTTTTCCTTCCTTGGTATTTTAAAAGTAGTTGTCTCTCTTGTGGTTCTTGTCAATATCCGAGTTTCCAGCACTTTCTCGAGGTAATTTTTAACTTGCTAACAGCAGCCTGTTTGTGTAACTAATTTCATTACCATACAGTTGAACTGAGTTATCACCAGATGTTAAAGCGATGATTTTTCAAATTTGATTTGTGTTGGCTGGAGGCATTTTGACTTATAAATGACTCAGCTAAGTTCTACCACTAGGAAAACCTCGGTCCATCTACCACCAGATGGTTAGTGGCTACACAAAGGAGAAGAGAAGCTCTGTGACTTATGAGATAATCAATGAGTACAACACAATTCTGGCAGGTTAGGAGGTTTCACGGTTAAGCATTATCAAGGTTAGAGTACTTTGGCATTCATTATTTGCATTTACTGTTAGTATGATTAGGACATGGCTAAAAGTGCCACAAAGCTAAATAATAGCTAGGAGATGTTTTAGGTGGTTTCCAGGCACGTGGTTTCTTATTCTTTTTTTAATGCATGCTGTCCTCTTTCCAAACTCTTTTGCAAGATGAAAAAGCCAATATTACCCTTATATACTGCTACCAGTCATGCTCAAAGTCTCCACTGTACAGGAGTGAATCAAGATCTGTTTGCTACAAGTAGAGTGATAAAAAGTCCCTTTAGCTCACTGAGGTTTACCAGATTCCAGGAAAGATATTTGAGAAAGTTTTTCCTTGGTATTTCTCAGTCACTTCCTGACCCCACGTCATCCCCTTAAGTTAGAAATGATTATTGTCAAAACTTCAAGTCTTTATGCTTTCGTACTTCAAAGTGGTTCAGAATCAAACAACCAAACTGAAATCTACCCTTTTCAGAATTTTTATTCCAAACCAGTAGTACTGTATTTATTTTGCAATTCAAGTTCGAAGAGATTTAGTAAGAACAGTTAATTTTACAGAATTCTTGCTAATAGAAGCGTAAGTTTAATGGGAACCTAAAACAAGCCCAGCACTGGTTTGGCTTTGGACTTGATCCAGATCAGAACATTTCTTCCTTTAATAACTTTGGATGTGATACTTCATTATCATACTTCAGAATAGTCTAGCCAGAATAATTAGATGCAGATTTATGTTCAAAGAATCTCCCTTTGATGCCCCAATTTTGAGTAACAGAAAATATTTCTTACCACAGAATCAGTTATATAGCTGCATAAAAAAATATCTACTGCTGTATCTATCACATTGGCAATAGGCTTGCATGCTGCTACCTCCATGGCAATCTGAAAGACAAATTAAAAAAAAAACCACCACAGTTAAAGTATCTGACAGAATAAAATAAGAATCTCAAACTTGCTTACAGTTACAGATACTGTTTACTAAATTGTTATCTCTCATCCTATCCACATTCAAAATAAATTCCAGTGGGATATGCTATCAACTGAACATACACATCTTTAAAACATCAGTTTACTTTCTCAAGGGCTGCAGCTGAAGAAAGGAAAATAAAACAAGATGATAATGACATCAATTTGAACTAAGCAAGGTCAGGCTCAGTGCAATATTAGCACAAATTGTAGATTTCAGGCTAGCTCTGGAAAAATGATACTATGTTAAATTTGCATTTTATTCCCATCAACACAACTCATCATTTCTATCTACTTCAAACACAACAAAACTATTTATAGAAGACATCTTCCCCTTTACAATAAGTACAAATATCTTATAAACTGAAACCATAAAACATACTATCAATATAACATTTTTCTTATTATCTTTATTATTATTATTTAGCTTTTCAATGTTTGCTTTTTTTTTTTTTAAATGCAGTTTCTCTCAATGAAGTAAATGCACCTTACCGACTCCTTGACCCACTCAATGTATTGCTCAAAGTAGCCAACTATGGTATCCATGTACTTTTTTGTCTCCTAGGAACAGACAAAAGTAAGTGAACCTTTATCTCCATGACATCATAAATGAATGTACTTTAATCAAATAAAGCTTACCTGGACAATAACTAGAGAAGCATTGTTATTTATGAGAAGCTGGGCAGCATTAACAGCACCAATGACATTTTTCACCTTAAGCTGGAGAGGAAGAGACAGCATTTAATACAAATAAATCCCTTTCACACCGTTACAATGGCTCTGCAGCCATTGTCAGTAACCTACTCCTCTTGATAAACCAGCATCACTGTCCCAACAAAACATGCAATTCCAGACAGAACACGAATCTGCCTAAGAATTCATGATTATCTGACAAAAAAATTCTCTCAGTACTAAAATAGGAAGGTGTCAGTGGTTATGAACAGTATCTTTTTCTGGAACCTGTGTAACATTTATATACTAGACCAGCTTTTTCCTCCATTCTCTTTCCTTTCCTTAAGTGTAGAGATACTTTCATCAATGCTTGTATATACACTACAGACACACACAGTGTACAGGAAGAAAACAGTGAGCCAGATTACATGATTATCAGCTAGAATAGGCTGCTAATCAATATCCAAAAGGATTGTGACACTTCTTCAATATATGTACAACCCCATAAAGTCTCTCAAAGAACACACACAAAGGATAACGTACATACATTTCAGGATAACATCCTGAAACTGTAGAGATGTTTCTTAAATATACTTAAGCGTCAAATATCATCCTTTTCTTATCAACACTTTAGTTAGAATCATAGAATAGTTAGGGTTGAACCAGGAATGGTTATTATTATGGTCTTATCAGAATAAGGTTATTAATGGTCTTATTATCAGAAGCCAGGACCATCCAGGTTCAAACCACAGATTCTGAAAGAAATCTAGCTGGTCTGCTGCTGTGGATGAGTGGAAAACCTTAATGGGAAGAACTGAGGCAGGTATGGCACATCCAGCTGTTGTGACTATGACTCCAGAGTGTCAGCTAGCGTGGCTGGATTCTTGCTACCAGAGGCAAGGCAGGCTGGTGGTGACAGAAAGCTTTCCTGTCAAAAAGTGACCATCCTGTTGCTTATTCCCCCTAGTCCAGCAGAGTAACAAGGCAGCTGGTCTCATTGTGGTGCAGGCGCTAACTGCTGCTTAGAGGCAAAAGTGGGCTGCCCTGGGGAAGCCTCTGTACAGACCCAGCTTCCCACAGCAGGGCTGAAGCTGCAGAAGCAGGAAGACAATGTGTACAATGGTAAAGAAACAGGCCTCAGCAGGAGCTGGATGTTGGGCAAGAGGTGGTTAAGGATATGAATCACAAAGCTCTCTTTCCTCAGTTGTAATTTTGCATTTTGTTTCTTGGTTGTCCCCCCCCCCCAAGTTTTGCAGTCGACGATTACAGAAAAAACTACTACATTTTTAAGAACACGAATAACGTAATATATGGAACTGTACTGAAGTCTATTTTATCACGTGACAATTAAGTTTACAATTCATATGGCAAAAAATATTCCAAACGTTCTTTTTTTTTTAAAAAAAACCCTTTTCTTCTCCTCAATAAGGAAGGGAAACCCAGGGTAGAAAAAGCTGTGCAGAAGAGATCTCATCTAAATCCCTGTTACTACCTCAATGCTTTACAATCTCTTCCAATAACAGAACAGCTAGGAATACAAAAAAGCCTTACTGAAAATATATGCCTTGCATATGTGGCGGATGGATTTAAAACACATTAAAATGTTCCTGTTGCCAGAAAGAAACGCTTACCATAAGTTCAGATGATGTCCTCTTCAGTAACCTAATGCTCTGATTTAAAGTGCTCTATTAGAAAGGAAGGGGGGGAAAGGAGGGGAAAAAAAGATTCAAGTAATTACTACAGGTAAGAGCCCACTTGTTCTGACATTATATGCATGCTTTGATCCTCTATAGATTATTTTGTTTCTAATGCAACATATCACATTGTATATAGTAACAAGAGTTGTATTAAAACTAACATATTGTATTTTTAATCGTTGAATCAACATTTCACTGACAGCACTATGTTATGAATTGCATACTGGAAGGCTTCAGATTTAACTACGGTTAGTAGCAATAAACTGAGTATGATTTATTTGCAGTGAAGAGAGTACAGTTAAAATCAGAACCAACTGTTCAGAGAATTCTTTCACTGTGCAATTTCAGACAGGAAAAAGCACTTACCCTAGCTTTAACATATTTCTTGACAGTCAGTTTTGTAAAAGGAAAAAGAGATGAGAATAATTAGGAGTTAATTAGGAAAGAACAGCATAGAAACAGCGTGGAACAGAAGACCTAATGCTTTCCTACAAGTAGGCTTTGATAGGGGCAGAAATACTGTATCTGATGCTGAGATAAACTAAAAGTCTTCACATTATGTAGAGGAAAAACCAACAACTAGCATGTATGAAATTCACAGCTTGATACACTATACAAATCAGTGCCTGCCAAAATCAGGCAGGAGCAGTCCATCTTTTACATTATCTTTAGCTCATATTTTCACATCTTTTATAGCATTGATTAAAAAAGATTTTTCTTTGGCTCTAAACACTACTACTGTAAGGAGTTTCCAACTCCAATACTGTCAGGAGATGGCTAACTCCTAAAAATAAAGCATGAAAGTGATAACTGCTTTTACTACTGAAGACAAATTGTAAGCAAAAAAGAAAATGAGTGATTTAAGGTTAGAATTTTGTAAAGTTCCCCTCTGCTTCCACTTTTGTTCACATATCATCACAAACAGATACAGAAAAAAACAGGGAAGAAAAAGCTCATGATTTTAGACAGTTACTATATTATAAGTAGGAAAACTACATATTAAACACATAGTTTAACTACATTACTCTTCAGTGACACAATGCAAATGCAATCTGTGTTTATACAACAGCAAAAGTCCAGGTTTCTAAACCGTATTTAAGAGATTTAGAGATTCACATTTTCTATAAATACGTTTTAATATTGCTTTAATATTTTACCATAGCTTGCTCTAGTGGAACGACTTGCTGGTTATGAATCATTCGGATGTTGTTTGCATGTCCTTTTAAGGCATTTTCCAGTGCTCCTTTTGGCTGAAAAAAATGCAATTATGCAGTATTGTTCAGTAGCCTCAAAGCTTTCCAACAAAGCAAAAAACAATGGAAGTTCCACATTATACTCATCCACTGCAGAACAGCTGATGCTAACAATAGGATACGGCAAACTGAATTCCTCAACAGAAGGAGGGGAAAAATCACCGCATTAATAATTCAAATGTCAGCAACCAAAACAGATCTATTATAGTACTTTTCCAGCTATAACATTATCAGCACAGATTTAACTGAAGAGAATTTTCACAAGATACACTAAGCCATCTTAAATACAGAAGAGCGAGCACATCCTCCTCTCACTCGCCACAAGCCAGACTTCATCACAAGAACCCTGCAGCGCAGCACCACAGCTGGGATGAGCATTTCCCAGTCACGGGTATTTGCTTTTGTTTCAGCCACTGTGGACATCACCCTGGGGCGCTCTCTGCCTTCCGAGGGACGAAGAAGTTCGAATATTTTCAGCCAGTAACTTGCAAAGGCATCTGTAAAGGGTATTTTTCATTTTTGTGCTCCCAACTTTTGGTGAGAAGATAAGAGTTTGTGCCCTGATTTTCCAGTCCAAATGCCTGTCTAGAGCTCATGCTTGTTGTGAAATGCTGCAAAATTTCATTTTACTCTTGGAAATACACCTCTTTTCTGTTTCCTTTAGGTAGCAAAATCACTTGGCTCCTTGCATACACACTGAATACGCAATAAATACACACGGCTAACTCCATTTAGGAAGTGTAATAATGGCAGACCTCAATGCTCAGAAATCTGTTTGCTTCCTCTGTTGTGCTGACAAGCTGAATCCACTTACCTAATAACACCTAGGGGTGGTATTTCTCTCTCCTCTATACCCTAACCCCTTAGTTTGATGCCAGTTTTATTCCATTTGCTCCTTCCAATGTAAAAACATACTTTCAATTTTGTGTAAGGTGCCAGAAAATGCAAAGTATACACTCAAAGTTAATTCCAAAAGTTTTAAGTTTATTTTTAATTGATTGTTCTTGTAAACTTCAAGAGCTATCACTAATAACAAAGTGGGATTGTAAAATATCCTGGAAATCAGTATCAATTTTGAAACAGTCTAACTTTTGTAATGCATTGTATTGTTGTGGTTTTTTTGTGGTTTTTTTTTTTTTTTTAAGATGTTTCATAGATTACACTAAATGGCATCACAAGGAAGAAATTAAAATGTACACTGTGACAGTAAACACATTTAATATTGTATTTTTCTTTATCTCTTCTATGAAGAAATTACTCTGCCTGATCTATTGTCAATTCTAATGCCTCCTTTAGATTCTATTACAAAAAATAAAGAAAAAACAATCTACCCTTACGGAGCTATGTAGCATATACCTTTAAAGAGACACCTCAGAGACAATTCTATGTAAGATAACATCATGTTTGAAGAACTTCAACTTTCACTTAGAAAATAGCCCCAAGACAACAGCAAAAACTCCCCACCTGTGTAACATTCAAAATGGCACAGTAAAAATGAAAAATGGAAGTGAAGTGTGGCCAATGCTACTGGTATCTGTCCAAGGCAGCAGAGAACCTACATGAGTAAACAGGCAATGTATGGCTCACCCACAGTGCTTTTTTTTTTTTTTTTTACAAAAAAAAGCACAAGCAGCCTAACCTTGACATGAGTGCACATGTGGCAGAAAAAAAAATAAAATGCCAACAGGTGTGATCAAATTATGCAAAAAGCTGGAGTAAACACACCAGAAACCTCTACTGCTGCCCTCCTCTCCCTGAAGGACAGATGGATATTTGATAAACTCCAAACAGCAGTCTCTCACTGCTGTTTGTGTCCCTTAGTGATCCAAGCAATTGTAATACGTGCGCAGCATAATTCTTTCTCCCACATTGCAATGCAGGAATCTGTCTTGGGCCAGTGTCCAATCTATGACTCTTATTTTGAAAAATAAATAGAAAGTGACCTTGACATGCATACGAACATATCAACTGAATATTCAGTCTGTTAACACAACCATGTCATTCTGCAGATTCACTTGCGGGCAATGTTGTAGCTACACCCTCTGACCACTGTCCATCGGACTGCATTTAAAACCCCCTTCAGAGCAGACAGGATCTCTTTCGTGCTTTCTCCCTCCACAATGGAGCCCCACTTCTCATTAGAGCCCTTATGAGCTGCCACAGTATTAATCTTATTGCTAATTGCAAAGTCTTCTGCTCACTAACTGAAAGAAAATTAATTCAAATCATCTTTTCCATCATGATCTAACCAACTTTTCTTCCAACTGGGACCCTAAAATATAGACAGCATCACAGGAAATACTCGAACAGAGTATTCCTCTGATTTCTTAAGCAAACAGCGGAATTTAAGAAGTTACACTTCCAAAGCAGAAATTGTCCAACAGTTAGCATACAGAAATCAATAATTACCAATATTAAAAATATAGCTCATATACAATATTATTCTTGAAAGTTTTTCCTTATGTGACAATGCATCATGTATGTAAGTGTCTGAAGTACAAGAATCCTTCCACAGGAAGTCTAAATAATTGGCTACGTGTTTATATTTATGTAGTGTATAAACAATACAATGTCATGTATTATTGTACTAGTGAATTAAACTTACCAGCTGGTCTGCTCTTGCTTCTAAGTCATTAGCAAATGACAGAAGATCAACCTTGGTAACACTTTTATTGATCTGAAACAAGATGTGAACAGCAGGGAAAGAAAGAGAGTATGTTACTATTGCATATACAGACTGCTTGCACTTAACTATACCACCTACTCAGTCTAGCCTTTATTTCTTTAAATGTTTATTGACTTTAACTTCTGAAGTGTTTTTGCTCCAAGTTTTGTGATTCTTCAAAACACACCCTTTCACACAAATGCAAGTTTTTCCTCTGCTCCATCCACTGTTAAAGAAACATTTCATTTTATGCTTTGTCCCAGTCAGGTCTCTAGTTTACTACAGTCTCACCTCGGTCAAATATGCTGCAAAGTTTATCCCTTCTATTCCTGAAGAGCTGAAATTCAGAAGATTCTCCTTCCCAATTTCATCCAGCAGAATGATTTTGCTGAGGTTTATCTGAATATGTTCAATTTTAAGTGCTACATCTTCTGTATACTGAGCAGGAAACAAAATAAAGCACAAAAGTCATTTGCACCCATTGCATATTCCTCTATGGGCCACTCCCCACAAGAAGTGTCTTGCTTTTGCTGACTCCTCCCTTCCATAAAGAAGCACACATTGATTGTTGTTTACATCAGTTTAATTCAATTAACTTTGTTAGAATCTACCAGGTAATGCTCTTCCCTCACCTGCAGTATCCACATAGTCTAGACACGCCATGCTCTAACCTACCTATGCATCTTTCACACAAATTAGTTACTGTCTTCCATTAAGTTTTTAAGCAGGCTTCTCCAAATAGATGTTAGTCCCTCCTAAGAGATGGAGATAAAACAGAATTCTCCTTCCCCTCCAGGAAATGTTATCCTGAAAAAATTTAAGATCTACCCCTGGCCCTAATCAAGGAAACCTAGAGAATTCAGTATCTCAGCTGTGGCCAGGACAGACGCCCTCTGCTGTATTAGCCACTAGATGAGACCCCTCTAAACATGTTTAATGGTGACTAAAGATGACTTGCTTATTCTTACCTGAAGTCTTCCTGCACTACACCCAAATCTACATTGTTACCTGTCCTGTACAGGCAGCAGAGCAATAGATGAGGAATCTGCAAACCTGACTTTCTTCTCAGCCTCCACCGTCAGTCTGTTGCAGAATCTCAAAATACTTTTCCCTCTTAGTGAATCTTCTCTGTTAATTTTAATTGTATATTATTTGGGGCAGGGACTGTATCTATACAGCACCTGGCAGAATGGAACATGGATCCCCTAGGGGTTGCTGTAATGAGGATCAGTATTATAGACAACCCCAAAATTAGTAGAGTCATGTAATGACAGTGCAGTCATGCATTACTACAGCTTAACTGAAAAGATTTTATTTTATTCCAACCCCTTCCCACCGAAATTGGAACCATTCTTAGGAGCACAGCGTATCATATCCTGGACCAACATAAATCTAACTAGAATAGAATAGAAGAGAACACACCAAGAAAGGCATTCATATAAAGAACAAGACTCTCATTAAACACTGTAAGCAGCCTCTGGAAGATGCTAGACTTGAATCTTCTATGGGAGTTTCAAAACGAAAAAACAATATTATTATCAGCACACACAAAAAAAGCACATCAGAAAATCTTCCATAGCTCACTGAGACTGGTAAAGGACATCTTATTTGTAAATTGATTTCTTTCTTTCTAATTATCTTGGACAGTTCTTGCCTCCTTGCAGGATGTATTGTATGCAAAACCCAAAATCCCGCAAAACCCAGACCTGCTATACTATGTTATACTAAAAGCAAACACCTCTCTAGCCTTCAAAAATAGTCATGAGCTCACTCACACTTTCTTTACTTACCATACTAATATTTAGAAATTCATTGATATTGAACAGGTGTTCTAGGTGAAGGGAAGTATAAATTCCTTTGTTTTCCTTGCAATCACTATAAAAATAAAAATACATACATCAGCCTAAAAACCACCTTGAGGACCAAGTGTTAAGAGAACAATTAACAATGTTTTAATATTCTAAGAAAATCAGTCCTTTAAAAAAAAAAGCTCTGTGTATATTTTTTGAAGCTCAGTCTATATGAAAGCAAGTAATCAACAATTTCTGCTGGTCTCAAAGACGCAAATTATTTTTTCAAAGAGCTCAACTACTATTGTTATACAATATTACGCTAAGATTACCTCTAATAACTTACATATAAGAGAAAATTGCTTTTGCTAATGATTCACTAGAAAATCATAATGTCTTCTGGAACACATGCAATTTCTGCATGTGCTTGAAACATGAAGCGTGGAAGCTACCACAAAAACAGTACGCATAAATTGAACTAAATCTTGACCGTAACTTTAATACCTGTACACTTTCTCAAAAGTCAAGTTAATATTCGGATTTTTAAACAGAATGCCAGAAAGATAGTTTTTCCAGTGTTGATTTAGTAAGTAGGGAGTATCCAAAACCTGGAAGACAAAATTCAGTAATGTTACTATAATTCTGAGTTTTCACTTAATGAATTTATTTATATGTGATCTTTTGACACATACCCACATCTAAGCTTATTACCCAGCAATGGAAATACAAGCAAAACGGTGAATTAAATCTCTCTGGTGCAGAAAGTGAATATTGAAGCTCCATGTCACCAAGACATGCTGAATCATAGAAAGAATTATCTTCGAAGGAAGACAGACATGCAGTATTTACACTGTGAAGCAAATTAAACCAAGAAAGGATGAATGTCCCTATTTGGTGCATAAGGGAAAAGTAAAACCAGATCCAAACTCACTTCAAGTGTCCCATAAAAAATAACATGCTATACATAACTGACATGATCACTGGGACTCAGGGGGATTCTATTCATTTTTTTTAAAGAACTTGAATAACTTCACCTTGAATAAAGTTTTATCTTCAAAGGGCTCACAGACCAGTTTTTCTACATTTCCACCTGTGACAAAAGTGAGCACCACTACAATCATCAGCACCCAGGAGAAAAGAAAACTGAATCCAACACCACTGAAAAAGAAATAAGTCAAGTAAGCTTTTGCTTTTTAAGAACAAAGTATATATACTTCAGGCAACAGTGAAGCAACTGTGAGAGAGAGATGAAAACGCAGATGGTTGAAATACTTGTTTTCCAAATAAGTTCTTGCCCTCTGAAACATCTTATATGTTTCAGCCCTGTAAAGTCTTCAGCTAAGGCACATCTAAAATGCTGACATTTGCATTGTCTTTCAAGAGTTAAGTTTAAGAGTCACAAAAGTATACAATTTTCTTTTCTAAATTCAACTTTCTAGTCTTGTGGTCTGAAAGAGTTTTAGACAGACTTCAGATGCAATCCTCTCTTGGACCCAACAGAAATGGCATTAAACCACTACTGGGAACTTCTAAGAGCAACCTCAAACCTCCTAAAGTGCTCTGAGAAAGTCAAATGTTTCTTTTCTCCTCACGTGGCTTTTTTTTTTTCTTTTAAGGAAGTGCTCAAGTGTAGTAAAAAGCTACAAATTCCCTTTATATTTTCAATTATCTGCTGACAGTTTTTGCAATTTCCGAATGGGCTTACATAGAAACTCACTAGCTACAGCACTCGCCTTAAAACAGTAGATTCAGTGGTTTTATCCTTCAGCTATGATCCTCAATGAAAGAGCAACCCAAAATCCCTAAGTCCCTCAGTGGAAGTACATGAGATTAATATTTATTTTTGTTTTACTTTTATTCACCACATATACATAGGTAACGAAACAACTTCTTTTCATAAATACGTCCTTCAAAATCAATAAAAACAACCTTCTATAAATACTTTTATTATGTTTTTCATTAATAAATGAAACTTACGCCATAAGAAAGTTTCCTCCAGTGTTGGAGATGCAGCCTCTGGTTGTTGGAGAAGCATGCTTATCATAACCACAGGTGCCACATAGCAGTCCAAGATAGTAAAAGACCAGAATCAGGACCAGCATGCAGCACAGAATGAGACAACCGAGCCACCTAAGGAATAAAAGCCAAAGTGCTTGATTATCAGCATGCAAAGAACACACTGGAGACCTGCAGAATACATCACACAACAGTATATTCCCAACTGGCCCACTCTTTGCTCTGTTTGAGCAACAAATGTCAGCAATGCAAAAATGCTTTCCTACACTAGCATGTATTTTGGGCTAGAACATAACCGCTGTTGAATTATAGACAGCTGCTACTGAAGGGCTGGGGAACAAACATCACAGGAATAAGGTGTTCCCAATTCCAGTTACTGCAGGTGGACTGTACCAAAGTGTCAAAGTGTCCCAGTGAAGCCAACAATGACTCAGAAGAGGCAGATGCTCAAACAGTAGTTTGGTCAAGAAGCAAAGGAGAAATTCATGAATGTGGACTGGCCATTGGTCATGAAGTATGTAACTGCTCTTACTGTAAGGCTCACTACTTCTTGCACACAGTGTGTTAGGCTGGTAATTGCAAATAACTGTAATCCAGGCTATTAAAACCTAAGCTCTGTGTGTCTATGCTGGAATGCTTTCAATGTATGGAGCAGTTAACGGAACTTGATCAGGAGAAAGATCTTGGATAGGAATTGAACTTTCATTCTTATTAATTAAAATCACATCACAGTTCTATCTATCCACATATTTGGAGCACATCCATTTATTTACACATTTTATATGTCATTTTAGCCTTTCACCTTCTCCTCATTCCCTCTGCTCTTCCTTTTCCCTTTCATTGTCACTTCTCCCAGCTTATATTTCTTAAGTCCTCTTTTCTCCTTCCTATACCTTTGTGGAGAGAAAGCAGGAACCAGAAAAATACGAGAAAAGAGTATCATAATGAATATGCACAGCCAATATAGAGAAGAAAAACATTAATGCTGACAGGCACATTGATAAAAAAATACTTACTAAGAACTACAAATAATGCACCTGTAATTAAGAAAGGGATGGATAGAAATAATTTGGAGAACTACAGGCTTGTTGGTTTCATTCCTACTTCAAGTACTACCACGTTGGGTTTGACAAGAACAGGTATTTAAGCGCCATGCAGATGAGATACATTTCTCCACTTTTTTTAATCTAAATACAAAATTAACAGAGGCATACTGTAGCAGCATGAAGAAATATATTTACTTGGTTAAATGGAATCTGAACCTTAAAGATCTGAATCTTAAAGAAAATACTGATAAATTTATCAAATTAAGGCTCACAAAAAAAAACAGCCAGGTAAGGAATGGGCTAAAAGTAAGGTTATACATAAGGTTCTTAAAGTTCAATCTTCTGCTTACTTTTATTTAACATTGCAATAAAGCCATTAACATGTTTATTCTGTCGCAGTGAAACTGATTATGACACAAAGACAGAAGCAATTATCGATATAGGACCAAGTGAAGTGTCAAAGTCTAGGGAGAACTTGATGAGCATGAGGACTGAAATGACTAAAACTGGACAAAGTTAAATGATATGAAATGAAACCTTTTATGCTTCAAAATATGAGATTATTACTCAATTAGATTACTCAAGGCTAAAAGAGAAAGAATACGTTTTTCTCACGAAGTACGATCAACCCAAGCACTCACAAAGACAAGTACTACACCAGTAGGAACAAGCATGGATGCACAGATATTTACAAGATGTGAAGCAAAATCCCTGCAACTCCTCCTCTGTGGTAAAAAGAGTGCAATAAAAAGGGACTGGCTTCCAGACCTCTCCCATCCTACACTCTTGCAACTTACCAGCAAATCAATAAAAACAAGCCCTAAATAACAAGTCCCCCGGCATTGTAAAACAAATAACTTCTTTATGCATTACATCTTTGACATCTACCTGTCTATCCTCCCTGAAAAAGGCCTGAAGGCCTACAGAGCAGGAACTACCTCTTTCTCTGTAATGGAAGAGCATCTAGGTGATGATTAGCTGTGGTTTTGGCTTTTATCAAAATGCCAGTAACAAAAACAAACAATTGCCTTACAGCATCTTTGTTTCACTGTATTCATCATTAATAGTTTAATTGCCTTCACAGAACATTAAAATATTCCAAAGTATTAAAAACAAGTAGCACTTAACTCCTGCCTTATTTGCTGTACATACCTGTAGAAATCATACTGCTCCACTACTGGAAAATAATCTTGAACGTATGATTCACTCTGTGTAAGATATACCATCAAATCTGTTAAAATCTTCTGAACAGGGAGTGTTTTTGTGAAGGTAGTGATATTTGAACCAACGGATTCCAGCACGCTTTTGATATCTAAAAGAATAAACATATTGCACTGTTACAGATTTGTGGGAGAAATTTATATTCCATGTATGCATTATAAAATGCTATTAAGCCATTTGCCACATCTAACAAGCAAGCCATGAAGACAAGCATGAGGAAGAGACAAGCAGGCAACAAAAACATTGAGCTTCCAAGTAACATGATGGCATTTTAAAATGCATACTTTATTTTTAGCATTCAGCTTAATGATGAAAGATGTAGATGTCGAGCCAGAGTTCTCTCTTTCCTTGTGTTATAATGAATGTGTCACCTTTTATCTAGCCAGTTTAAATCTTGCTTTTCATGCAATACTGCAAATGGTAACACTGAACAAGAAAATTAGCCACTAAGTTTATGAAGAAGATCAAAATCTATTTAAACTCCACCTCTTGGGAATACAACTCTGTGAAAGAAATTAGACTGCCTATATTGAGAATCTATACTAGTTATTTTCAATCTTATTAAAAAAGATTACTTAAATAAATTCATTCCAATTAGTTCGCAACACTCTTGAGATAATGATCAATTAAGCCATTTTTTCCCTCAAATTATGAACGAACACGCTATCCTATACTTACAGTTTAGATACACACTGTTTAGATACACAAAGATATGATTAATTCACTTCTTATACACACTGTCTATTTGTAAAATGCAGTTTCTGTTTACTCTTCCCATTCTCTCAACTTGGAACATGAAACAGTAGGATGTATAACTATAGGTGCTATTTGTTGGTAGGCAACACCCTCCTCTTTCTCAAACAAGAACTGGACAAGTTTTTGCCTGGCTGTTTTGATGTTTACTCGTCAAATTCAATCAGGTATCAAAACACTCTTCTTTTAAAAGTTTACAAACATATGCAATTTTTTTCTCTAGTAAAACTTTTTTTGTGTTATTCGTAATTCAAACTCAGTTTTTATAGAAACAAAACCCCAATAATTTATAAGTAGATAAACTAAGACAGCCTGTGTTTAGGCATATCAGCAGATACTGAAAATCAGTAAATCTGCACTATATTTCCTAAATAAAAGCATAACATCAGTTTTAGAAAACTGGCTCATTTTAGGCAAGTTCACACAGTACGCTGATTGTATAAATACTGTGTTTCATTTTGCCCAGGGAGGGTAAAAAAAAAAGAAAAACTTACAGGGAACAGCTGTTTATATATGCAGTACAGGTCCACAATGCAAGAATAGAAATTAGAACAGATTAGTATACATACACTATACTACATTTTATTCAAACATCAAGAGTCCAGGTATTGTCAAAGAGTAACCGTTTAAAGTCCAAGCAGCAAAAGAATTAAGAGAGATGTCCTGGTTTCAGAACATTTATATTATCCTTAAGGCATATTTTTACCTCCCCTTCACCATCCACTACATTTTAATGTAGCAGCAGGCAGGTTCAGTTTTTTTAACATCACACTCCTAAATACATCATAGACACATCAGTCAAGGAAAATTAGCTTTTCAACCACATAGAGATAAAGTGTCATTGTGCAGTTGAAATCCCAAGATTTCTCATCACTTGAGCAGTAAAAAGCCTAAAAAAACTCCTCCATAAAATATCATACGGTCTACTTTTATATTTAATTCTGGGTCCTCGTTAAGACACAGTTGCTTTCTATTTTTTTTTTGGTGGAACCAATTCATTTTAAAAAATATTAAGCTTTATATTTCCATTTTCAATGATCTTTAATCCAGAAAACATATTATGAATAAAACAAAAACATCAGTAAGTGATGTAAAGATATCAACATTAAACAATCAAAGTGAAAAGATAGTTTGTCCTCACCTGATAAAATGTTTCTTGTTTGATTCACCACTAAGTCTGGAGTATCATTAAATGCTGCATAACCCTAAGAATAAAAGTCGGAAAAATTATAATGAGTCTCTCATTGTCACATTATTTGTATAATTTTTTTGCTCTTATACAAGGAGTAAGAGTATACACATGCTAAAATGTACATGTTAATACTATGAAAAATACATTTTTATTACTGCACAGTAGAAAAGGTCAAAGCAAAAGCGGAACTCAAGTATATTTCAGATTCACTTTGCTCTCCAGCATATCCCTTGAAAAAAAAAATGCCCTACGTTTAAACACACAGGGATCAGCCACAATCATTTCAAACCTTATAGTACTGTCACCTGTCAGATCTATTTCGTACAAAACTGAGAACACACAAACGAAGACTCCCCAAGTGAAAGGAGTTGCTGTGTAGGAGCCAAACACCTCTTTGCAATTCCATGCCTCCTCAATGTGAAACCATGTTACAAACAATGAAATCCAACTGCCTCTAAAGCCATTGCAATGCTTTCTTTAGTGAGAAGGGAAAAGAAAGGGTTTAAACCGCAGGGACCAAGCTGAGTAGCACATCTGGACAGAAAGGAGAAGTCACTGCAGTGGATGCTTGAAGCCTTACCTCCTGCAGGCCTGATCACTTCAGAAGCAGACAGGGGTCTGACCCCTCTACAAGCAGCCTTTGGTTTCAGAAAGTGCCTTCTATTCCTAGCAAACGTTTTCAGATTGCTGGATTTTTAAACTGCTCAAACTAAGCATTTTTTTTTTTCTGAGTGAAAATTATGGTTTTGTGGACAGTCATGCAAAAATACTAATAGCAATTACATTAGGTCCATTGCACCAGATTTAATATCAAATATGCACATAAAGAATTTGAAAGACATATTTCAAAATAGCTAGAATACAATACAATTAATTAGGAGAGCCTGGATTTTTTTTTTCTTTAGTTTGTACCACAAAACATAGAGCATGCTAGTAGAGTCATGTTTCTGCCTTATTGTTTTTTAAGGATCGTTCTTTCAGGCAGACAACTAGCAATACATTTTTGATCTGTAGTATCCTGGGGATATAAAGCACTACATTCATACTTTCAAATATTAAATCTTGGCCAAACAATGGAATAACAAAGAGAGATATCCACCATGAGGCAGGATGAGGTGGGAACAAGAGAATTCTGCCTGAGAAAATAAAGGGAAAACAAGTGATACCTAAGTATCGCAGTTTATTAATTAACAGTTTACAAGCCTGTTAAGAAACATACCTTTTGAACCAGACTAGAAAGGTCTATTTTAAGGACATCATTGACCTTGGCAAGCTGTGAGCTCACTCCTGGCAACTAGGAAGCAAAAGCATTCTTGAGTCATATTAAAGTAGTAGCCTTGCTAATTTACTAAATATTTCAAAGATAGGAGAGAGAGTAAAGAAAACTAGAAAATTTGTAGCAGAATCTTTCTAGCACACTCCTGAAACCTTTGCTGTACCAAAGCTAAGTTTAACCTCAGTGTTTTTGGGAGGGCAGATTATTTCATTGCCCAGAGCAACGTTTTAATGTAGCTGCTTGACACACATTTTATTTTCTTCTACACAGAAGATGAAAAGAGTGCCTGGAATTACTCAGAAAAACAGAATAAGGGAAGGTCACTTATCTCACAAGTGACAGCACACACTGAACCATTAAGCTGCAGAGACACTACTGGGCTTATTCAAGGCAATCACACTGTAAGAGTCCGAAAAATATTCTCTTACCCCACTAAAATTGGCATTGATGTTCAGTTGATTTAATGAATTCCTGATAATATTGCAAGTTGAGGCAGCCTGAGCTGCAGAGCATGCAGAATCATTGAGGGTATTGCTTAGCTGCATTTTAACATCTGTCAAGTTTGCATGAAGCCTCTCTGTTCCCTCTTGCAAAACTTCTACAGAGACGCTCACATTTTCCAGTGCTTCCTTCGTTTCTCTGATGGCTGCAAGGATGTTAAGTTTTTTAAAAATCTTTCGTTAGAAACCAGTCCATAGATACAGATACGAAGAGAAAGCGCACATGTGTAAATGCTTTCTTAACGCTACTGATTTAAATAACCCTGCCTCTCTCCCAGAAAAACCCTCTGGCATAGAATACGCATTTATTGCACATACAAATACATCACTTATTTTTTTCTACAAACAAATGAATGTGCCCAGGATACTTTTATCGAGATTCTACCCACTTCCCAAATTACTCTTTCCTACCCTTTCCCTATCTCTCCTTATCCAGTGGTTTCAGTAAAGAACTTTAACACTTGGTCATTAGAAATTAAAAGAAAGCCCGTACTCGTGAAACAGTAGTTTCAGTATTTTGTTTATAATCCAACTCACAAATTATGTAGTTGCAAGATGAAAGGGAAGGAGATCATGTTGCATCAGCCAAGCATTAATCAGTGTTCAACACTGTCTAGCTCTAGGTTTCAACCCAATCACACCAAACAAACAAAAAAAGCCACTGAACAGGTGTATAGTAGACAAAAAACCCCACACAGATACAACTAAAAGTACACAAGTTACAAAAATAAAGTGCACTTCACACAACACAATGTTTTATGGTATTTTTTTACCTTTGATAGCCCTTTCCACTTTGACTTCAAGACAAATAAGAGAAATAAAGCAAAAAAGGAGAATGATGACGAGTGAATGAGAAAGAATTAATGGGTAAAAAAACCAAAGCGACTTAAGTTCACGGATGCCTTTCCCTTTGTTCTATAAGCTGTACCTGATACCTGAAAAAAAACCTTAAATAGAAAAAAATACTGAAGGAATACTTTCTTTAAAAGGAGAGAGAACTAAGCATGAGCAATGCTAAACTTAAAGATACAATGAAGAAACGATGGTTAGCACACTCATAATAGGCTTGGCAGTGTACAGGATGGGGCCACTGTACGTTCACTCCCTGACCTGTCCAAGACTAACCTGCAAAGACCTACGGACAGCTCTTAAAGAACAGTTTTCCTAGACTCCCTCATATTCAATGGAAAGGGACAACCACCTGGAGCAGGGAACTTGGATTTCATCTTTCTTCAATGATTGCTGAAACTAGGTACCCACCATGACATATAAATCTTCACTTATTTTTAAATGTACTTATAAACCTTAAAATATCTGAAATCCTCAGTTTAAAAGAAACATCAAGGCATGCAGAAAACGGTAAGCTGAATCATGGTACTGCACAAAGCCATCTCATGCTGTGCACTAGAGAGATGATGCCTGTCTTACCATCGCAATAGAACATTAATACAACAATAGGTACATCTTTACCTCCTGCCATTGTCAGAGCCGCATCAAGTGCGGGACGTACTTCTTTTCCCAGCTGTTCTTGAACTCTGCTTCCAAGCAAAGGTCCAACGTCTGTAGTATGGAGAGATAAAAAAAAAGGTATTACACACTAGTTCAATTTAAACTACCTATTAGCACAGGCGCTGTCAGACTCTCTACTTAACAAAGTATATCACTAAAATTTCTCCAAGGCCTGACAGTCAGAACTTAGTGACAGAAGATAATACAGTGTCCTGGTTTTAGCTGGGACCAGGATTAGCTCTTCTTTTTAGCAGCTAGAAGAGCTCCGTGTTTTGGTTTTACTCAGAGGCTCGCTCTGAGAAGAACGCTGATAGTGCACTGATGTTTGTAGTTGGCACTGAGGTCTCAAGGAGTTTTCAGTCTGCCGGGTTCTTGCCAGTGTGCAGGAGCACAACAGGATAAGGGGGGACCATAGCTGGGACAAGGGGTCCACAACTCTCCTTACGATTTGTACCTGAACTTAAGATTGAGGGCCAAACTGGCCAATTAGTATTCCATATCATGCAGCGTCATGCCCAGTATAAAAGTGAGGGCCAGCCGGAGAGAAGGGCTTTTGCCCTTCCGGGAATCTCACTTTCGGACTCTGAGTGTTTTCTCTCTCGCTCGCTCTCTGTCTCGGGGCCTCCCGTTCATCCGGGATCGCGGTATCGAGTTTTATCTGTTTCGGGATTGCAGCTTCGGGACGAGACGGGCCTCGGTCAAGGGGTGGTGAGCAATTACACCGTACATCACTCGTTTGCATATGTTTATCCTTGTACATATCTGTATATATATATATTGGTAGCGGTAGTAGTAAATTGTTCTTATCTCAATCCTCGGGTCTCTTTTCTTTTTCCTCTTTGATTCTCTCCCTCATCCCTGGGGTGGGGGAGGGTGAGAGGGGACTCTGTAGGGTATAGTTGCCAGAGCAGCCTAACCCACCACATACAGGAACACAGTTCTACTCTAGCTGACTATAGGCCTATAAACAAAAGCAGTAAATCAAAATATGGTGGAGAATATTCACTAGCACTTGACCATAAAGGTGAAGACACATAACATTTCAACAAACTCCAAAATACCTATTTCATTGCATTGCCTACTTTTTGGGAAATAGATTTTTTTTTTTTTCCCCACAATCTATCTTTAAGAGGTCCAACATCTGGACAGGAATTTTGTGCCATACTCTTTCACTATACACGAAGTTTTCATAGTGCAAGAGAAACTAGAAGATGGATTCTTTTCCTTTCTCCTGTTCCTTGTGTTTCCAGCAATGCCAAGGTCACCCACAACCCAGACCTGCCAGCCATCTCCCTTGAAATCCCTTAAGCGTGTTAAGCACAATGTCTCCAGTCCCTGCCCCCTCATGCAGTGCATTCAGCGCTGATGCCCACAGCGCTGGCCTCATGCTCATCCGTAGCCATCCCCACCTCCAAACCCTCCTGTCTCACTGCCCACAAACAGAAATGAAGCTTAGTTCAGCAAGAAGACAGACAAACGCCGAGCAGAGTTTGATGAAGCATCTGAAGTGTTCAGAGGTGTCGATCATTACATGTAAGGGCACGCCTTGCACGTAGTGTATGGGGATTAACAAAGGATATTAGAGCATTGGAGGTCACGTATTGACCTGAAAAATGAAATGGTCGTCTGTGGAAAGGTTGGAACTAGATGATCTTTGAGGTCCCTTCCAACTCTAACCATTCTATGATTCTATATCCTTTAGGTAGCTGCTGGGTCCTCTCTATTTTCAGATCACGGTAAACAGCTTTTTGAGTTTTTTTGCTCTTGATGAGATGGGAATACCGCATGGTACAGAAGCATCCATTACTGTCAGCACTGTCATGTCTGGCTTGGGATGAGAATTTTTATCACACAGAAAACATTTTTCAGCGTTTCCTTAGGGTGGGCAAACTGAACTCATCTATGTTTCTCTCAAGGTTTATGATACTGTTGATACCCTTTGAATGAAATCCTTTTGTTCCCAGGTGTCACACACCTAATTCTGGTATTTCAAGAAAATAAAAGCTATCTTTATTTATCGATGAGCACTCTCATCGCAGATCCAGCTAGTTTCCTGTAAACTAACATATTAAATTGGCATTGAGAACAAATAAACATTTAATTTGAAATTTCGGTTTGGAGTGACTGGGAAGCTAAAAACTAGCACTTGAAATGAAGATATCAATTCATTATTATTGTTATTATAGACTTAAAGACAACACACATTTTTAGACCATTTTCCTGCCTCGAATTAAGTAGGAAGACTATTACTACTTCAGCAATCACTTTCAATATCCTTTAGTAGCCTCATATAGACAAGATGCATTGACCTCAGGTTATGCCTAGCTGACTGCATCGAAAACAACCTTTAAAATGTTTTAAACCTAGACAGAAGCATAGATTTTGGGCATGATAAGTGGTATGCTGTCACAGTTTAACAGTTTGATCCCAGCAACAATCCCATTTAAAATCAGTTTTGGTATTTCTGTATTTCACTTCAGTCTGAAATGCTGACCTGCACACATTTATTAACACCTGCTAAGAGGTGCAGCTTGATTCTAATCTGCACTGAATATGGTTGGCCCTTTCTGTTATCATCAGTTTTGGAAAGTGATGCTTAAATTCTGGAAAAAAAAGAATATCAGTGGTTTGATTGTTTCTGTTTACTGAAAGCTTTGAAAGGTGACACCTTGTATTGTAACAGTGCTGAAGGGGAAAGTGCAGCAGCTGTATTTCAAGTTTTATCTCCTGCTTTTCAACTGCTCATTCTGAAATGGCAAATACATTAAGCAGCTTTAGAAAGAAGATAAGCTTATATCTGAACTTCTAGTTGAGTAGAGGACAAAGTATTTTTTGTATAACAACAAAAATAAACAAATATAGAGATTTCTCACTCATTGGAACCATCAAAACAACTAGTAGCTTTGTTCTTTGACATTTGGCTCCATTGTTAAAAACTGGGGAATAATATTCTAAAAAAGCATTAAGTATTAGTGGTTACTGAACTATAAAAAGGAATAAAATATTAGCCTGACTCATTGTACAAGTAATTTATTAGAGACTTTTATTTCAGGAAATAATATTAATTATAACAGCTCTGAGACATCTTATGTGAAAAGAATTTTAGGTTTTAGTCTCATTTACCACTGAGAACAGCACTTTTGCTTGAAAATCATATTCTCATAAATAAAATTTCACTTTGCATTATAAGCTATTTACATCATCTTACTGAAGTCTTTAAATGCACATTGCTATCCCCCTTTAAATCAAGTACTTACTATTTAGGTCAGAGAGTGCTTTATCCTTAGTTGTGTTGTACTGGCTCACCAAGTAGTCAATTTGCTGAAAAGAAGATGATAAAAACCCCATTAAAATAATTGGAAAAAAGTAATGCTTTTAAATAATGAGTCAAACTGCCACTTTGAAACAATCAAAATATTTGTGCAATATCTCCAAAATCCTGGCTCTCTGTTTTCAGTCAACTAAGTATTTTAAAATTTTGCTTGGCAGAATTGCACGTAATAAAATCTGTGTTTAATTGGGACATCTACTTAATTGGACCATCTCCAGGGTAAGTGATTCAGCTTAAAAGTGTTAAGCAGCAGGAATCGTGGCCTTATGAAAGCTTCAAGTCAGTCAGGCTAGTAAGTTTTTGCATGTCTTCATCTCTGTTTGATTTTCTAGCGGCATTAGTTCCTCCTTCATGAAGAGACAAGTGGCAAGCTGACAGGGTGCTAATTTTCAAGCAATTAACCAACCAGACTGGCTTGTACCTGGGCAGTCTGTCGGAGCATCTCTTGCGGAAAGGAGCTGGCTGCTCTGTCTTAATGCAAATGGGTTTCCTTACCCTGAGGAGGATTTAGCCCAGTCACAACTTGGGCTCTACCACAACATTGTAATGATATAAAGCAGTGTGCTGAGTTCATGTGATGGGGTTTTGGTAGCAGGGGAGGGGCTGCAGAGATTGTCCCTGTAAGGAGATGCAAGTAGTTTCATCAGGCTGCAAAACCGGTCGGACTGGTCTCCGGCCAGGGCCGAGTCACTCAGCACCTCTGCGAGTGCCATATTTAAGCAGGGGACAAAGGAGCCCGCACCATGCGGGACTCGCAGTGCAGAGGGAGGGGAGGGCAGTCTGGCCACACTGGGCTGCCACCACATGACTGGAGATGGCCACGGCACCATAGCTGGGAACATTCCCAAGTGCCATGCTGGTGAAGAGATGCTTGTGCCCAAAGGAATTTGTAGAGGTCTGTCTCCGTGGGAAGGACCTCCACACTGCTAGAAACTGATGGTGGAGCAGAGATGCATCTGCATGGCCCAGCATGGCTGCAGCAGAAAGAAGAGTGAGATCTGAGAGAAACGGCTACACAGTCGCCAAGGTCAGTGAAGATGGAATGGGAGGAGCTGTGCCAGAGCTGAGATTCCCCTGTAGCCCGTGGTGAGATGGCAGCGGCCCCCCTGCAGCCCATGGAGATTAATGGTGGAGTAGAGATCCACCTGCAGCCCATGGGAGAGGACCCCATGCTGATGAAGAGATGCTTGTGCCCAAAGGAATTTGTAGAGGTCTGTCTCCGTGGGAAGGACCTCCACACTGCTAGAAACTGATGGTGGAGCAGAGATGCATCTGCAGTCCACAGGAAGGGACTCCACACCAGAGCAGGTGGTTGTGCCCTAAGAATCCATGACTTTGTGAGGAAAGCCCACGCTGGAGCAATCCAATGCGTAAAGATAGCATTCTGCAAGAAGGAATCATGTCAGAGAAGTTTGTGGAGCAAGCAAACAGTGTACAGAGTCCTCTCCCCTTGAGGAAGGAGCAGCAGAAGCAGGACATGACAAACTGATCTGGAACCCCCATTCCTTGTCCCCCTGTGAAGCTGGGAAGAAAGGAGGGGTGGGAAAAGGCGTTTTTAATATCTGGCTTTGGTTTTTGCTATCCTCTCTAAAGTAACTGTTAACGAATTAAATTGATTTATCCCCAAGCCAAGTCTGTTCACCAAGGCCACGGGTGATCTCTCCCTGTTCTGATCTCAAACCTCAGGCCTTTTGTTACATTTTTTTTCTCCTCTCCACCCCACAGGACAGGGAGGAGTGAGCGAGCTGCTGGGTGGTAGTTTAGCTGCCTGCCCAGCTAAACCATGACACACAGTAACTTAGTTATCACCAGATCCCGGGTTTGGACAAAAGGCTATCAAAGAACCACCCCAAGTGGAAATCTTACTATGCTAATTTTGAAAAGGCATTAAAATAACCTTAATTGCTTTCTGCATGTTTAAAATAACGCATTAAGAATCCCACTCCAATTGACTTGAAGTAATGTAAAGGTTAACACACTTGACGAATGGGGTTCCAATTTTAAACATGACTCAAATACGCACCAAAGTGTATCTCACTTGCAGTCTCAAACTTTTCATGGAGTAAACAAAGAAATAACAGACAAAAAACCACTCTCGAACCAATCTATTCATCATACAGAGTGGATGTAATTAAATGACAAAGTAAGGCAGACTTCCTTTTTCTAAAAAAGGAGAAAAAAAATGAGTTTCTTATTAAGGCAGCTGTAGGTTTATTTTTGTTTGTTTGTTTTGTCTTTATAGGCTAACCTGAGGACTAAAATTTTGCAGGGCTACAGGTTTTGCATTGTCACCAGCAATGTCACAGACAAAAGGCGATTCTATATAACTAATAGTGTTATCACTCATAGTCTGCAAATCTTCTATGACATGAACTCTTAACATGTGACGACTTTTTACAAATCCTCTTACATGCTGTACACCTCACGCTGATGAGTCAAGGACATCAGTTAGGATTCCGGAGCTTTATAGCCAACTAGTTGGATTCTATGACTTTTTCAGGAAGCTGAAGTCCTTCTCCTGTGCTCAAGAAATCCTCACAAATGTGTGACTATACATGATACCCATGTACCTTGTCTGTCAAAATGACTTAGAAGATATATCTGATGACTGCATCATTAAGCGTCATCAAGTCTAAAATGAAAAATTAATAATCCTGCATAGAAACTGGAAACCTACTACCTAAGTGAGACTTTGAGGAAACACTGACACAAATGTTGAAGTCCTGACACTTTTAAATACAAAAATGCAGGCATTTTTTTTAAATTTTTAGCTAGTGTCCATTTTCTTCTCTATTAAGATAGCTACTTCTATGTAACAGATTTTCTACTCCGACGTTTTCAGTTGTTGGCACTCAGCATGCTGTGAAGAGGAGTCTAGTGGTTTCTGACACAACTGGATTTCATCTTTCTGTGCCCTAAGTCAGCTCTAGACCGACAAATGGCACTTTGTTTCACGAAAGAGATGGTAGGTGTGACCTCCACTTCCTGCCACATACCTCCATCACTTGGCTGTCACACCACCATGCACAAATGATTAATTGTATAGGGAAGAACTCCAGATATGGAAACACTTAATGGCATTCCCCAGATGTCTCCTGTGTTTATACAGTCAGCAGACAAACAGCTCATAGGTATGGGATCCCAGAGTTACTGGGACTGGGATGCTACCACCCTCGTGGATCCTACATAACTATGTGAATTCTACCTATTTCTAATTTATCAGTCATGTGGAAGTAAAAAAAGATTAATTAAATTAAATTTAATTAATTAAAACTAATGAAATTCAACACAACAGGAATGTTGGACTTTTTTTCCTCCTAATCCATAAATACCTGAAATTTGTACACGGGAAAGTTTACAAGTCTTCCTTACTAGCATTTCTTTTTTTTTTTCTTTCAATGCAAAAAAAGATATGCAGAGGCCTGCTTTTGGGACTTTAAGAAAAGCTGGAAAGTAGAAAAGAGAGAATCTTTCCTGTTCAGTATGGCACAGTATGACACTGGTTTTAAAGAAAAAACAGTCAAAAATACTTCTGGAAAAGAAGTTACTGTAGCTCTGTCCCAGAATACATACAAGTAAGTCCAAAATACAAAGTAAGAGGAAAGAGCAACAAGGAATCCAAGTTTTCATGCAATGTATTTTTTTTTTTTATTTAAAAAACATATTTTTCCAAATGATTCACTTTCTGCTAGCGATCTACACTAGTTCAGTAGGAGGAAAAGGGCCTACAAGCACCCTCACAGCACATTCCAGGTGTACAGCTCAAAAGTTGGTCAAAGAATGCTGATCCATCAGCATAACTCTCAAATATTTACTTCTGTGTGAATATGTCTTACCTTGCATCATTTATTCTACTTTGTGAGACTGACACACAAAGAATAAACAAAATACTGCAGGTGTGATTGATATCAGATAGAAAGAAACAATTGTTTTCTGCAATACTTCTTACTCACTCTTCCCTCCCACCCCCATTCCCCATAAAGAAAAAATTCCTTACCGCTGGAGTGTCGTTAAGGAAAATTTTCATATCTTTAAAGTTACTGTTAACCAGTTTCTTTGCTCCTCTGACTTGGTTAGTTAAATGCTGATTGGCAGCGTATGCACAGAGCACTCCAACACTACAAAAAATGTAGATAACAGATATTTATTACTGTAAATGACCATTCTGACATAAAACAGAACTAAAAAATTACAGAAAAAAAAAATCAACATTATCAAAATAAAGGTCTCCATACATTTCCACTCTCTTTTCCTTACTACAAATTCTCACATGCACCATGAGGCAAAGTAGAGGAATTACATGTAAGGGCTGATACTGTACTGCTAACTCAAGAAAAGGAGGGAAAAAGCAATGTTAACCCTAAGTCTTCAGAAGTTATTAACATACAGCTACCTATTCACTTGCACTGATATTGTCAGAAAAGATGTATAGCCTAGAAATTGTGCGAGACTTAGAAATGTTAGGCTCTTTTAAAAGTATCATTAACCTTGACACAACTACAAGCAAATGCTCATAAAATAACTATAAAAATAAATATTTTTCATTTGAAAACTTCAGCAATATTTACTCATAATGGCTTGATTTATTTACATAATTGCATAGATCTTTTAAAAGCAAAAGAATAGTCTGTATTAATGCTAAAATAATACATAAGCATTTCCTGATAATAAAACAAAAGGTGGAAAGTGATCTAGACTTCCAGTCAGCACTGCTGCTGATTATTTTCTATTTGATCATTCTCCACTGTAAAATTCTAATTACAGCATGGCAGATCTGCACAAACAGTAAGTAAAAAGGCCATTAAAACTCCCATGAGAGGCTTCAAAAGCTCCCTCATGATCCTTAGCGTTTTGCTTAGTTTAGGTGTAAAATAGACTCAAACAGAAGGATAACTTTTTGGTTTTAAGCATCTCACATTCACAACAGTTAACCTTTCAGACAAGCACCGGAAAAATCAAGAGTAACCACCAGAATGGCAACAGCCTCAAAAGCAGGCTGACTCCCAACCCACGTGATGTGCTGAGCACTAACTTCCCCCAGATATAACTGGTAGACAGCAGAGATCCAGTCAACACAGGCATGATGCAGCCCCAAAGGGCAAACACTGCCTAGAGGCTGCAGTCAGGTGCATCGCAGGCAATTCGGATGGCACGTTTGTTCAGTCTCTTATTTTGCATTGTAGTACAACACCTCAATACTAGAGAGTCAGCACCCTGAAAAGCCATTACAGGCATCCAAATGACCGAAGGGAGTCACTGATGCAAATGGTGCTGTATTCCTCACAGACTGTCAAACTTCCTGAGCTGGGGTGTCAAGAAGATCTAAATACTAATATTTTTAAAAAAGACCTAAGAGAAAATCCATACCAGGCTCCCTACTGGGCAAAAAACATATATGGTAAGTATAATTCTTACTCCAAAGAATGTATGTTCAGAGGAAGCCACAATACAGCCACATAAATGAGATGGCAGAGAGCAAACAGGTACCTAGAACAATGATTTGCAAATACTAGCAAGACAGGAGCAAACACCCTGATGATGCTCGTCTCCTCTTACTAGTGATCCAAAACCAAACCCTGATCTTTATTTTGCTTTTCATATTTTAGCTTTCCCAAACAAGGTAAAGGCTTGTTTTCCCAGTGAAACTAGTCTCAAGTACAAGAATTTTTGCTGCTCTGGCAAATACTCTCAGTAGTAAAATTCTGATTTCAGAGCATGATACAGGGAGAAATGGTAAGACTACACGCCACAGGTGTTGGTCTACTGGGATTGCTGCACTAACATTGCTCTCAATAGCCAAAAAAAATCAGAACAGTATGATGGAGTTTGACATAAAGAGGTTGCTTCTCTACCGAAAGTTTCACAGCTATGTCTTCAAAACTGGCTATTAACTACCTTCCCACAAGTCACTAACGCATGAAGGGACACCAGCATTTATCTTACTATTTATTTAATTAACTGCAAATGCCATAATTTTATTTCCACTATGACCAACAGCCCAGCAGCCGTTATCATCAGCTACCACCCATGGAACAAGAACTCAGAATGCATAAAATGCCAGGAAACTGAATAACTGTCAACATAAGCAGAAGTAAGCTTATTGGACACATGCAATATATTATTTCTTTTCAGTCTACAGTGATAGTAGTTGTTTGTAAAACTTTTGGGTTTGTCTGATTTGATTTCTCAGAAGACAAACTATCTCAAGATATCAGGAAAAGTAAACATTTGTATATCACACTGAGGTTTGGAGTTTATGACAACATTCTTTTTCTTTGGACAGCCAGCATTTTCATGTCCTTTCAATGTTATGCTCATAGAGCAGAAAGGTCAATTGGAAGCTAACAAAACAGTACTTTGTAAGACTTGAGCATGATCATTTTTCTTTTCAGTCTCTTAAAAGGAAGGAGTGGGAGGAAACAAGAGAGTGGAGATGCCTTAAGCAAACAAGGCACTCAGAACAATTGCAGCTACATTCTGAATGTAACTAAACAAATACACAACATGAGAGGAAAAATCTATTGTATAACTGAGCCTTGAGTCAACATGCAACAAGCAGCTACAAGGAGAGAGACATAAAGCAGGAATAAGAAGGACAAATCTCTTCTGTAACAGATTAGAGAACTGTTTAAACAGCCTCTTCAGGAGTCAGATATTCCACATTAAATTTCTCGTCAGGTTTCACAGTCTGATATAAATGTTACTAACCCAGTTGAAGGGGGGGACCCAAGCTTTTCCCTCAGCTGTGCTTGCAAAAAATTTCAAGTCACAGAACAGAAACCCTGAACTGATTTACGTACTCGGGAAATGCCACCTCCCTCACTACTAGGTAATGAATTTAAGAAAATAATGGGCTAGAGATTTCTGTATCAACTTTTTCACCAACCCTTTTAGATAACGTTGATTTCCAGGTTCTGAACGTGTGTTACCAATCTCACAAAGCCAAGAGGTCTTCTGTGAAGTCTGAATGAGGTACTTGCCAAGATAGCAAGTATCACTCCCTTCTTTCAGCCTTGGCTCTCCCTAGCTTCATACACAGTAACGTAAGTTTTTTCCTGAAGCTGCGGATAAGACAAGCTCTCTTGGAAGGACAGAAAACCGACTATGTAGTTTTCTTTCAGGACACTTTCTATTACTAGTATTATATTTGCTATTGCAATATACGCTTTCTCAAAAATCAAACGTCCCTTCCTTGTCTTTATGATGCAGAGGAATTAATGAAATTATATTTCTTTCCCAGAGAAAATGTATGTTTGCCTAAGCTTGCGGATAACTAGGAAATAAAAAGAAATAGCAGCAATCTGTCCCTAAACTCTCAGTTCACCTTTGAAGAAAGCACGTAATTGCTTTAGTGACAAATTTGGAATATCAAATCTACTCAGCTACCCATTTGACAGATCATTTCTATGTTCTGTGCTCTTTAGCAATAGACTCCTACTTTGTATGGCAACACTCTTGTATAAAATTTGTGAATTACCAGAAACACTGCATGTGCTTCTGACTCAATCTACCAAAAGAAATATATCAAACACAAAATGCATCTACTGGAAATGAAACACTTAAGGCCTATTCATTTTAAGATAAACAACTGTGTATGTAATCACAAGACTTCTGACATAATTCTTATACCCTCTTCTGGAGGAAACTGTATTTCCCACATATACCTCACCTTCACAGAGCATATCTAGGTAGAAGTGGGTTTTTTTGAATAAATTTGTCATCTTTGTGTTTCTTTTACATATTATCCCAGTAAATTCAGTATTAAAACCTCATCCTAATTACCAGAGCATTGTATCAGTGGAAAAGTGAGTAGAAATGATGTTTCTCATGAGTAAAATCTACTAGCTGAAATCTTCTAAAATCTACATTACTAGCATATATATGTCAGCGTGAACGTGCACGCTGACACACAGAAAAGCCATACCCATGTTCCTCGAGTTTTCCAAGTTGTTGCCTATATACAAGCTACTGCAAGCTCCATGTTCAGTCTCTTTCCCCTACTAGTACTCTCTACCATGCATTTGACCTTTCCCAGCCAAGTAAAGATAGTTTAGACCTGCCTTTCCATGCTACTGAAAAAAAGTTTAAAAAAAAAAAAAGGAAAAAGAAAGAAAAGAAAAATGTCTCATGTTTCCTGCTCTTCAAAGTTCTGATCCATTAACTAAGAGAATCCCAGAACAGCTGGTACAGCAAGACAGATGGAGAGAAGATGCAGAACATACACTTACACGGTACATCTTCAAGAAGTCCATCTCCTAGAAAACCTTCCTGTTCCCTCTAGCAGTTGTCCTCATGTACATTCCACTGGAGGGCATTTAAAGCAAAGCTCCACTGTCAGAGGTGCGGGTTCAGGGTACTCTGATGGATGCATGCCTTGCTAAATGCACCTTCTGAAGTGGCAAGCACTTGGTGAGGTGAAGGAGTGTACGGCGTTCCAGTCACCTGGCAGGGGTTTGGGAGACATACTCCCAAAAGGAGGCCCTCAATGCTGCGTGAACTTTAAACTATACTCAAACAATGAGAGGACCTACCGCAGTGATTTCATGGCACATCTTGATGTAATCCTGTATTAGCAGAGATCATTCAAGTTTTTGTTCTTTTGGCTCCATCTGCAAGTACCCATACGCATTTTACTAGCACAGCACTAAACTCTTCTGATTATTGTCACCGCTTATGTATGCAGCTGTGGCACAGTCCTTGAGATGTATGGTTTTGGGAAGAACAACTACAGGTAAATCTTCCACCTAAGCTGAAATTGCATGGTAACTTGGGGCAAAAGTAGATAATAAATCCAAAAGAAGACTTAGTCTGAGTACAGTATAAGAAATAGGGAAACAGTTCTAAGAAAACCTCAGACTTTCTCCCTTTTTTTTAATTTTTGTTGGGGCAACAGCTTCCACCAGACTGTCCCTTTTGTGTTTCAGTATAGCAGTAAGCAAGCTGACATGGACTTAACTAGATCCAGGTATGGCATCTTCTCTTCCCTTGTGAAAGACAAGCCAAGAGGGCAAGAGAATCCTGCTTTATATGGAGGCGTACTGGAGACCTGAGTGCTCAGACAGGCAGGGGTCAGTAGTATTAGCCCTGTAAAGTCCTGTCTTGCCTTGCACAACACTTACAGCATTAGAGACTTAGCCAGGGAGTCATATGAGATTATCCTCACCTGTGGAAACCTGCAGACAGAGCCCAGTCCAACTGCCCCCTTAGGGTAAGCATCTGATACTCCTGATGTCTTATACAAAAGGACAAGGATGAGTAAAAGAGGATGAGTTAAAGAGGCAGTTTCCCTAGTCCTGGCAAGCATGTTGCTAGGGATCACTGATCTCCCACTCACGACCTGAGAAGAAGCATTTGCCAATGCTGGGTATGCTTAATACCACAAGAATAGCGGGTAGCTAACGTACAAGTTAAAGAGACCAACAAGGTGGACGATCTCTTAATTTCTCTGCTGACAGGCAACATTCCTCAGCCATTATAATCAGAATGTAGTATCCTGCAACACAGCATCCTGCAACGTGGTGTAAAGGCACATTTTTGAGGCACCACTGTACTATGAAGAACTTCTGTCCTGTCATCATGGCAGGGATGCACCTAGCATCTACAATACTATTTGGCTTTCTGGTCTTCAGAATACTGAAGTTTCATGTTTGTTAGTGATGCCTGGGAGAAAAGAGCATACTCCCATACCTGATATCAGCATGGTCAATACTTGAGTATAAGCAAAGTCTCAAGGTGTCATGAAAAACAGTAGTAAAGAGAAAAAAAATAAATCTGGATTACAGTGAAGTGACAAAGTCCCACCTGACTGAACAGTCACATAGTACAGATCAAAAGACTTGACTTTTTTTTTTTAATAACAATCACAAAATAAGGATAGTAGGCAGGTGAAAATATCAAGAAGTTGAAAGAAAATAAAAAACCTGAAAACAAACAATGTATTTTGAAAGCATCTACAGGGAAAGAAAAGTCTAGATTGTAGTCCCTTATCATCTGTTACACACCCAGCACAGAAAAAGAGTATGCTCCTAACACTAACAGTGCAAAAATGCCTCCAAACTCCAGGATTTTACAGTGAGTGCATGCATGGTTTGAACAACTCAGTGCCCCCCAAAAAAACCATTATTTTCAACTAATAAGAAAATCTTGAAAACAGCAAATACTAAAGGAGGTCACACAATTGCTTTTCTCACCAATACTACACTATCAAGAACAAAGCAGTACATTGCACACCAAGTTCTCTATGGGATGGTAACTGAACACAGTACACAGTATCTTATGTCCGTAAGTTTAACGTAACATTCTGCAATTGCCATTCTGAGACTGACAAAAATATAATTTGCCAAATTCAAGCTTAATTTTTGTTTCACAGCTACACTCCTCTCAAGCGAGAACATAATGATCTGTGGATAGCAATGCTAGCAGCATTTTTATAATGCAGTCACATTTCTTTAATAAGCAATAATATTACTTAGTCTAGTAAAATCATTTCTGCACCTGTAGGCTAATACAGTAACATTATTTGTCATATGACACTGCAAAAATTAGTTCTATACCAAGCTTCATATTGTTCTCTTTATTACACTTGCCTTATTATTAAAGAAGCAACAAAAAGAAATGTTGCAAAACAGCTCCTCTGACAGTCAGCATTTTTCTTCTGTCTTTGATGCATTTCCCCACCACAGTTGTCACAGCAACGACACATACAGAAGAAAAGTCCCACAAGAGGCAGTAACAAAATAAATAGCAATCCCAAGGCTGCGGAGACTATAAAACCGATTTCATAGTAGATGGCCTGTAATTCAGACAAAAATAGTGGTAATAGCAGATATCACACAGCAACTGCAATCAATACAGAGCAAATAATTAAAAATCAAACTACAGATTAAACGCCCTACTAAGTTACCGAGGTTACGGACTTGGTGTATTTTGTCAGTAATTGACAACTTTTCTAACAAAAAGACACATAACATTGTAGATACTGATAGCTAAAAATTATTTAGCTAGAACATTAGCTACGTAAACTACCGGAGCGAGTGTTAAAGAAATACGCTCACAAGAAACGAGTGTGAATCAATGCAATTGAAATAGGTTATAAATGAACACGTCTGATTTCCCGGACCACAAATTTACTGTTTCTCACATCTGTTTCCAAAAAGGCTCCACAAACGTTAGCAAGGCTGACTAGATCAACACTTCATCTGGGACGGGGGGAGGAAGGGTTAGCTTTTTCTCCTTTTTAATCAGTTATGAGTGGAAAGATTCATTTGAACCGCAAAGGGAAATACTTCACTGGATGATGGATTGCGATGGCAGAGGTTTCTCCAAACTGCTGAACTAAAAACTGCTTAGGGACTAGAAAACATGAAGAAGTAGATTTTAAGCTCTCTCAGTTAAAGACATTTATTCTGCTGCCAAACAGCAAAGCAGCAGCAACTAAAAGGATGCTCTCAAAAGCTGGAAGGAGTGAAAGGGACCAATGCAATCCAATACCCTAACTAGCTTTTATGCTGGAAGTGCCCCAGGACTGAGGAGCTGGGCCAGGCAGCCCTGGCACAGCCCCACACAAGGCGACGTGGCTTCCAGGGGATAAGCTGTGAGCTGGCCATGCTGTTTCCCTCTGCTGCGAACACAAGCCAACACATCCAGAACTGGATCAGGCAGGTGTCTGCACACAGAGGTAGGCAGCACAGCGTGGGCATGCCCCAGTGGTCTTTCTTCCTCATAAATCTCTTTTCTCCTTTCCTTTCCCAGTTTTAGGGAAACTGATTCTCACACTAGTACTTTGAGTCCTCTTCTGTTTTACAAATCCACCAACACAAGGGCAACTTGGCAGTAAAAGGATGAAATTGAGGCTGTGTATTGTCCTGCAAAACAAGTTACAATTTCTCACAAGCTATCCATCATGCTCCAGTTCCAGCTTTGCTGATGCCCTTCCTCATAATCTCGAATTACCAACTGATCCGAATACAGCAACCATCCATCACCATTAGCAGAGCTGCAAAATTCTGACCTAATTACCAATTCTAGGATGAAACCTATTTTTTTATTATTATTAACTGCTGGTTAAAAGCTGTTATCCCATCTGAAGAATACGGACTAGATGCTTGGATGAAGAATTTGGGTAGATTTTGCAAAAGAATTACTGTTTTCTAGTTAGCTGAACAATTCAGAATTTATTTGACAACATAAATTTTAGAATAGGTTAGATGGAAAGACACTATTTAAAAAAACATTAAAAACAATTATGGATATTTTAATAGAAGTAAGTGCATACAGACATGGTTAGTTTCTTTTCAAAGCTGTACATCTACCATAAGACATTACCTGAAGAGTCAGGACAACATTTTCTGGCTGTGGAAGTCAAAACAAATGGAGAATGTGTATAATACACAGGCAGCATGCACAAAAACAAATCACATGAGTAACGAATAATTAACCACAACCAAAACAATTAACAACAGAGAAACAATAATAAACAGCCACTAAAGTATACTAATGCATAAAAGCACCATTAAATAATTACAAAAATTATTTACAATAAAACACATAGCAAATAATTTCTGGTTTCCTTGGTAAGTGAAAGGAATCTAGGACTTGTCAAACAAATATCTCCATCTTAAACCAACAACAGACCAGTTATTTCCACGTTGAACATCTGTTCCTTACAATTCCCAACACATCTCACAGAAGAGAAGGCCAGTGATTGCATTACTTTGTGGCTTAGCAATTTCTTCATGAATTCCACCTGTCATAACTCACCTATGATATTTGCAAATAACTTTCTTTTCAACATTTGTTTTATTTTGGCATAAAAGCAGCAGTTTGAGTAGCAGTTTTGAGACCTTAACACATTACACACAGAATTCACCCACACTTTTAACTAATTATGTAGAGGTTTATTTTGAATTGTTCAAAAGTAAAAAAGAAAAGGCATTCAAGAAAGACTGAAGTGGTCTATTTATCAGGTTCTTAACTTATTTCTTATCTGTAATTTCAGAAAAACACTGAAAACTAAATATTCAGTTACAGGAATTTCAGAAGAACCCAATTTCCCCTTTGTTTCCACAATAGAAATAGAATTTCTTATATTTTTCCCCTTCAACTCTGTATGAAAAGTTCACAGCTGATAAGGCTTTCCCCTTTCTCATAAGTGGAAGAGAAAAGTGAAGAGGACAAGCTAAAGACAGCAAGACCCCTCCACGCAAAGTCTGATGTGTAAGAATCAGAAACATTCTCAAGTTTTAGGAAATTTTTTTCAGCGTCACATAAATCTTTACGAAACTTCTACTGTACAACATGCTTAATTCGTTCAAAATCATGTTCAGAACTATATTTTCAAAGGGAGGAAAACAAATGCTTACCCTCCTTCATAAATCTGGTGCCAAGTATGATTTTGAACATTTTAAGCAAGCATGTCTCCCAGCAGAAGTAAAACAATGATGGCAGCAGCGAGCTGGCTCCCCCCAAGCAGGTATGGCAGGGGGGGGG